GATGTGCAGGCGCGAGAAGCTGGCCAACAGCGCAGCTACGCCGAAGTAAAAAATGCCGTGCACGCTAACCTACAGCGACAAGCCTGGACAAACGCAGTGCAAGCATATTTGCACAACTTGCAAATCAAGTATGATGAAAATACAGTGCCGCAACAATTGCATTGAGTATGACAGACGATTTGCTCACCCGTTTGCGCCGCTTTAGCAGCGAAGCTTTCCCCGCTCAACGCGAAAAGTTTCAAACGCTGGTGGCTGATGGCCAACACCCTACGATTTTATTTATCGGTTGTTCAGATTCACGCATCGTACCCTATTTGCTGACAGGCACAGGGCCAGGCGAGTTGTTTTTGGTACGCAATGTAGGCGGATTTGTTCCGCCCTATGATGGCTCAGAGGGCTACCACGGCACCACAGCAGCAATTGAGTTTGCCGTACTCAACCTGGGCGTGCAACACATCATTGTTTGTGGACATAGCCACTGCGGCGCCATACGCGCCATGTATAGCGAGGCCAATCCAGAAGCGATACATTTGAACAATTGGCTCAACTTGGGGCGCGATGCTTTGCTGCCCGTGCAAGCCAGCGCAGAAGCCTTGCACCGCACAGAGCAACGCGCTGTGGTTCTGCAATTAGAGCGATTGATGAACTACCCCATGGTTCGCAAGCAAGTAGAAGTGGGAGAGCTTAAACTGCACGGTTGGCACTATATCATTGAAGATGGCGAGGTGCATGTGCTGGATGTAGAAAAGGGAGAGTTCATCCCCGCTACAAAAGAGCTAAATTAAGCCGGTATTTTAAAGACGTACTCTATGCAAATTATTTGAGTGCTGCCACGACTTCGGGCGGAGCCTGCACCAACTCTATCAACACGCCTTCACCTGCGATGGGAAACTCGGCATTGGCTTTAGGATGTAAAAAGCAAATATCGTAGCCCGCTGCCCCCTTGCGTATGCCCCCCGGTGCAAAACGCACTCCTTGCGCTGTAAGCCACTGCACTGCTTTGGGTAAATCATCTATCCAAAGCCCCACATGGTTAAGCGCAGTGGCGTGTACCGCTGGTTTTTTCTCGGGGTCTATGGGCTGCATTAAATCCACTTCTACCTTAAAAGCACCCGTACCTATTGCGCAAATGTCTTCATCTACATTTTCGCGCTCACTCATAAATGTACCTGTGCGCTCAAGCCCGAGTTTATCAACCCATAATAAGCTTAGTTTTTTCTTGTCCAAACCACCGATGGCGATTTGTTGGATGCCAAGTACTTTGAAGGGGCGTCTTGTAGCAGGTATAAGACTCATAAATTCTCCTTTTGGCAAAATATA